ATATTCAACACTTCTGTCGGTCTAATTTGCAACTATTATAACACAGTGTCATATACTACTTACAAAACTATATTGAAAAACATCATTCCTAAGACAGTCTTGACACGCTCCAAAAAGTAAAAATATCCTCTATTATTGTTGGCTAAACAGTCTATTAACCCGAATTCAGGAGAGACGCAACGGTTTACAGCAAAACTTCGCTTATTTAACAAGTGATATACTTGATAACAATAAACTAGGAAAGTCACAAGTGTGATATCCACTTTTTTTTAAAAAAAGGTGAAATGGTCTTGGCTAGGTTTGTGTATTATTGAATGTACCTCCTGCACATGAGTGGGTGCACTGTGTAAACCCTGTTAGTCTCCAAGCATAAGTATTTCCGTTGGGTGGTGATTGGGTAGCCTGGGACTTGAACCCTCTCTGACCAAAATTGCTGGGCTCTGCGGGTTGTTGCTGTTCTTTATCGCGTTTTTTAGGGTAGTCCTTAGGAAGAAGGTACGAATACATGATCCTAGGCTCGTCAGCTTGATAAAGCAACTGTCAAGACAAGAAAGCACATGACATATTTAATTATCAACCTGCGACCACCAGGATTTTTTTTGTGGGATAGTTGACAGAGGACAAAACTGAGCCTGAGTCAACTGCATTAAATTACATTTTTAGAACTCCATTGAGACAATTAAGACGTCTCGATTTCTTGGTGCTAGCCAGGTTACACGGCTCAAGTCTGATTTAACCGTACCAACTCTTTCGATGTTTGTAAAAACTCTAACAATTCTACCATTTACTAACGCAACGCAGTGTGACATCTTTTCCGAAGTTAAACCTAAAAGTCCATCTGCGAACAGCAGAGAGTTCGAAACTAAATCTGATAGAATGTTAGTGCCCTGTTTTGTCTGTCAATAGTGACGAGAAGTGTACCGTTGCAATTTTTGCGTTCAAAGTAATTTGTTTATTTCTCCTTACCATAACGTCAAGACCTTCAGACGTTGGCCCAGCGGCAATAAACGCCTCATTCTCGCCCTTGTCTCTACGGGGTCTTGTGTAATACACAGTTGTATCAGCTACGTCATAACCCTTAGGCAAATCGATAACCCAGTTTCCATTAATGTAGTACTTGCTTGAATCATGTGACTTGAGAGCTGAAAACAATTATGAAATTTGGAACACAAAGTCATTATTCTATAGTGTGAAAATTGAATCTATCATCGAATCTATTACAACTGGAATTTGTAGGACGAAACCAATGTTAAATTTAACCCTGAAAAAGTTAGTCACCAAATCATTAGTTTTCCATTACAGATTTGTGCCCGAGTTCCCCTGGCTCTGTTCTTGGTTTTCCTCTGCCATTTCACAATGTTAAAGGTACAATAGTGGGTAGCAGAGAACATAACTGATCTTATAAGAGCGACAGTGCACTAATTGCAGACTGTTCCCTGATTCATCTATAACTTTAAGAACCGTTGCTCACAAATAAAACTGAAATCGACAAATGAACAAAAGAGCCGGAGCTTAACAAGTGCGGCCTATTCATTGATTTCACTAATGGCTTAGGAATTTAATGTTAACATCGATATCAGTTCTGCCTAGACCAGCCGAAAAGCTCACCCAGATAATTCTTGCTTCTGCGGATCTCTGTGACATTAATGTTAGTGGCACCAGCAGGAATTGTGATCACAGGATTATACCCTAAGACTGACAAAAGAACGTACATAGACATGTTAAGCGAGCTTGAAACACAAGGGTGCATTTGTGCACTAGCCAGGAAGATATCATTTGATATCACTTGAAATCAAACATACTCAGATGTCCTCGAGAAACGTCTCTTGACGTAAAAACACCAGATCGCCTTTGCTTTGGTGTCACACGCTTCTGACCAAAACATCCGCCATCTTTACACCTTGAGGGGAGCTCCTAGAAAATAAAACGGCAAGGTACATGAGACGCAAACTCTGTAGTTAAGATATTCTTCAGTTCTATTGGCCAGATATGGCTGGCCGGTGACAGTTGATGGTTACCGGAGTAGAATGAAGTACCTCTCAAAATGTGCTTCAGGCCTCATCAACACTACGCCGGAGGAATTTAAAAACGCAACAATCACCGGTCATTTTGGATTTGTGTTTGTGTAAAACTCGGACAGGGAAATCACATTATCGTGACGTCATCGTCTACTAAAAGCTCCGTTTTTAAAATGTGTCTGTCCACACAAAAACGGAAAGCCGGCGTTTTCAAATTCTTCCGGTTTGACAACAGGGGCACCCAACCACCGTTTTCTCTCCAATGCTTTTAAGCGCTGTTTTAGGCTATCTGGGGTACTTTTAAAGTTCTGTAGGTTAATTTTAGGTTGCGCTCAAAAAGAATTATCTGTTCGGTTATTCTAAGGGAACTTGAGTATTCTCGAATTTATTAGGGCATTTTTGTCCATTTCCCCGAAAACCTAAGATCTTATCGCCTTTCAGAAAATGATAGCTGACCTTTTTTCGGTACCCAAAACGACATTTTTAACAATCCGAAGACAACAGACATTAAATTTCTCATATCAAGAAAGTTCGCGGTGACAATTCTCTTAAGAAAATCAGAGGGGATTAAAGGCCTTACGAACAGATAATTTACCGAAAAAAGCTCCGTTTTCGTGACGGATTAGTGTGGACGGTGGGCCTAACTTTGAAATAAAGCTGCGTTTTCATATTTGTCCGGCGTAGCCTGGTGGACGGAGCCTCAGTCATCTCTCATTTGATTTTTCCCAATGAGTATAGTACATACCTTGCATGTTCCACTAATGCAGACCTTTTTTAAATCACTGAGGCAAGGTGTTCCGTCTTTCACTCTTGGTGAGAGACGACGAAAGAACCTGAATCCTTTAGCCACACAGTAAAGCTCACATTCATCGCTATTCTTCACTGCAGTATAAACAAAACCTTAGTTTCAGTATTTTGTTCTCTTGCAAACTTTAATAAACATAGTCATGAAAATGTTAAAAATAATTTTTTAACCTCGCGAAACGATCACAAAATTTTTACTGAATGAAACAACCTGCTATTTCTGAACGGTCGAAATTATTAGAGATGAGTTGCAAATATTTGGATGCAGAAATTTCTGAAGAGTACACGTATTTCGAAATTCTACTGTTCCTCGGACTTAGCAGTCAGTTGAAATGTCTCTATAATCTAGGTTTGTCGCCGGAGTTGTGAGCTTGGTACAAGGTTCCCACGACAAACTTCTCCATTCTTTTCTGCCGGATTGTACAGTTGTTTATAATTAATCCCTAGATCTATTTCCATTGCCATCGATCTTTTTTTGTCCTTGTATAATTACTTAAGAAGCAGAACCTCTCTAGCGATTGTTTGACATTTATTTTCCTCTTTTAAGATGTATTTTAAGCTTAAGATTTAAAAAAAAAAAAAAAAAAATAAGATGTTAGTCTCACCGCCCAAGTAAGGGACCCAAGTAAAGAAGTAGCCATTGAAAGACGTGTTGTCAAACTTGCTACACTGTTCCGCTCTCGCCTCGACAGCATGTTGCTTCGTCGTCACAGGGGCCTGGTAACATTTCTGTAACGAAGAAAAACACAATGAATCGAAAAGGCTATTACTGCTCATTATAATTCATAAGACTAATATCGGAGTTTGGAGAAAAAACCATTTTGTTGAACTTTTATCCGATCATGGAGAATGTCGATTATTTGGCGCAGGCAAACGTTGTACACGTGTTAACAGTTAAGTGTGACCCTAGATTTGAAGCATAGATGGACAAAAGAGATTTTTTTTCGTCAAAAGAGATGGTAGATGGTTGAAAGAGAATCAGCTGACTCACGTATGATTGTTGGACGAATGCCGCCGAGAGAACGAACTAGTTTGATGAATATGATTGAGTTATATGTGTATTGAAGTTGAAACTGGATCTTCCTTCGTATTGTGGTCATACTTATGCATTATTGACGAGGAGTTGGAGACAAGTCTGTCACACGATGTTTTCGCGAATGGAAAGTAAGATAATTTGCGACCTTCCAAGTTCCACGAAAGAGCCTAGTTAAGGTATAAAACAAAAAGTACTACTTTTCAATCCCTTTGAGAACCATCAGAACCAGAAAGCCAGTATTATAAATATTAAACAGCTGCGTCAGACAAAGAGTGTGACTGGGTCAGTAAAAGCTTCATCTAGCCGATCTCTACGCTGCAATCTGTTCTAATATGGATCAATGTCTTAACTAAAACTGGTCAAACTAAAGGGTTAATTTTGAATGGATTCAAATTTGTGGTTACCTAACTATGAAGCATTTATATTTTTGTCAACGAAATATACATTGAGATTCACTGTAAAAAAATGATTATTTACAGACGATAGCTTATCATCAGCATAAACACAAACGTGTTGTCATGCCCGAATTTTGAAGCTTTAGAATATTATAAGAGAGAGAAAATCCTTAATCAGTTCAATGCGAGAAAAATAGTCAAACCTATTTTGGCGCAGTCAAGAAAGGTGAAAATGTAAAGGGACGAAGGCACACTTGTTTTCGTCCGATCCTACGCTATTCGCTGTTGACAGTGTATTTGACAATGAGACAACATAGCTCATTATAATATACATTCTATTTAGTTAAGTATAAACTATTTTAGCATTTTTTGCATGCTATCGTAAACAAAACAGTCCAAATGAAATCATTTTTGACTAAAAGAACTATAAGGAAGTGCTTCATTTAAAGGCCAGATGTTGGAACCTTACCTACTTATCGTCATTAACCTTTGAGACATTGAAGTTATGGCGGCCAAAATTTGTTATGAGAATTTTAAAAACAAACTGGGAAAGATCTTGAAATGTTCAACTGACACCTACATCACATTGTGGGGAAGAGACGTGCTGAACAGAGGTGTTGGTGGAATACGGATTCTTCTTGAAGCTGGAAATGTTCAACTCTTGCAAGGTCTTGACGTAGTGCTCATCCAACGACGGAGTTAAGTCGCTGTCAGCCGGATTATCTACCTCTGCTTCAATGAGCCTCCTTAAATTCTGTCTAAATTCTAACGTTTCTTGAATGTCTTGTGCCATACACCCAGCCACACTCAGGAGTGCGGTCATTAATAATCTTAGATTTGCATTTACCATTGCTCTAATGGCTTATTGCCTTCGACAGTCCACGCTTGAAGACTCATCGGGCTGCATAACAATGTTGCTGACCCCATCAATAATCGCCAAGGTGGTAGGCATAGATATGAAAATGTTGTTGACCCAGTCTGCTGTTCGGGGCTTTCACTAACCGTCAAAACTCGAAAGCCCGACAGAGCTGTGACCTCACGCAGTCATCTGAATCAGATAATATTTGTTCAAGAGATGAAAGAGGTGCGAATTGTGGCTGTGTACGTTCGCTAACATGATGAACGGAAAACAAAGTGATGTCATGAAACTAGGCGGCTTGTAAATTTATACTTTTTGCTTCAAGCTGTTCGAACTGTTTAAAGTTGCCGTTTATTGCTGATTCACTGCGTTCTGGTTTAAAAAATCTAAAAAGGGCTTAGAAGGCGGAGCGAGAAGGCGAGAATCAAACCGCAATACCTCCCACGGCTAAGAGGGGAGAGAGATAAATAAGAAAACCCGCCAGAGGGCATTAAAAGCAATAAGAAATGTTGCCATGGAGATAATTAATCATTGACCAGCAGGGTTTTTCTCGTGAAAGTAAAATTATCAACATAGGATTTATTATTTTTGTCTATTTGGTGTAAGTTAAGGTCACACTGGAAAAAAGAAGCAACAGGATCTTTGTGTTCCTCTAGATTATCAATCTATTAGTCTCAAGTTGTCACGTGGTTTATCGGTGTATTGACACGTCACAGGACTCGCAGCTATGACTCCATGACCGAATTTGCCGCGTGTTTTCAGTGGCTCAGTTTCTTCGTCAATAGCAGAAAAGTGTGAGTCACAATAGCTCGTGAATCCAAAGCTACTTTAATAATAATGCCACGTCAATTGGTCAAATTGCTAATATGATTATGTAGTTTGATTGTGGTTCGAAAATGAGCGCGGTTGTGATGAAAAGAATAATTATTAAGGGTTCCACCCTTCCACCTCTGGGAGCGATGGGAGAGATGGTTATGATAAGTCTATCGTGGACACAGCAGATCTATTTACTTATCGCAGAAAGTAATGAGTTTAGTTTCACTACATGCTACACAGCAGAGGAAAAATCTACATATTCCGGCTCGACGTTTGTGATTAACACTTAGTTATTAACAGCATGCTCGGACTTGCAGTAAAAGAATGCCATACGTAGATATTTATAACCTTGGTTGAGTTTCGATTTCCTCGGTCTGGTGATCGTGTTAACAATGTTATAGCAAATGGTTTTGCAGATTAGCTGTTCTAAAGAATCAAAAGAAATTCGTGCGTTGAGCAAATGAAATAAGTTTATCTGTAGTTGCTTAACTAAAGAACCTCCTTGTTGACGAGATGTTTGCAGTAAAGTATTTCGTGATCATTTATAAGACAATTGTCATGGTTCGCCTGTTTTGCTTGCCGTTCTTCCTTGTTAAAACCTTGATTTTTATCTCGGATAAAATGTACGGTCGTCTTCAGGCACTAAATTAAGAAGATCGTATTTCTTGCATTAAAAACATCAAGAACCTCCAGGGAGATTTTAGAGTAGATGAAAAGAAACAAATGCAATAGTTCACCTTTAAAGTATTCCCTGCAACCAAGTTAAAATGAATAGGATTATTGCTCGGAAAATTGTAGTGCTCAGTATGGGTCATCCATATTAGTGCACATATTATTTTGGTCTGTATAAAGAATAACAGATTTACTAGTACGACACCAGTCTTTACATATGCTTTAGTTATCATTGTTACCTTTTGAAGACACAACTCAAAGTATTTCAAACCCTGTTTAATGAGTGAAAACATTGGTTTTTGCTAAATTTCAGATCACGTTGAACTGGGCAAACTCCAATTTCAAAACGCTTTATCTCCGAAATAAGGCACCCTACTAAGCCAGTTTTTCTTCCTTTCAAGAGAGTGCGAAACTTTACCTGTCGGTTTATTTGACCAACGGTTGGACGTAAAATGAATCTAATCTTTCAGCAATTTTTGTATACTGCAGTTTTACCTGTCGATTTATTTGATGACAGTGAGATGAAAAAAGGAATCTCTTCTCCTCTTATATCCTCATGTTTGTCTTACACTAACCATAGTAACGTTAAATCTCTTTAATAATATATCAATAACGAACAATTTCACCTTCTACCCTTTATCCTGGACAGAAGTGAAAGCCTGCATACCTGCATATTACACGTGTTGTACTGAGTATCTGTTCCTTGGCAGTTTCCTTTGTCGGGTCCATATTGTTTGTAAACTTTCAGTACATACCTGGGTAGGCTACCAGTCCTGAGGATCAAGGAAAAGGTTTTCTGTAAGTCGATAAATCGTCAATATAGCATTGGGCATCCGTCATTTAAATTGCGTTCAAGACTGTAGTGTTTCATTGGAACCGTGCCAACCGTAACCAATTTTGGTTGGACCGTCCCACCCAACAGAATACTTTTCTAACCGTTTCTGGTTGATTTGGTGGCACATGCAAGGATTGGTATTCAACTTTTTAAACAATGAACAGTTGGAAAAGTGTCCAACAGGAAGATCTCAACTAAATCAATTTATTTAATCGAGCTTGATGACTGTTGTAGAGATAGAGCCGATCACCCAAACCAACAAAAACGACAACACGAAATTAAAACAAAAATAACTAATAAGTAACTAGCCCAGTTTAACGAAAACGGTTGATCCCAATAGCGCACGACCTCAGTAGTTGATGGAAAGCGAATGGTCTCTAAGCGAGTACTCAGCTGAAGCTGAGAAGCTCTCTTTTCATTGTTGAGCCGAGAAAGCCCTCGATAGGCACAGATCTTGATCTACATAGTTACAATAAATATAATGCGGAGTGATGGAACACAAAGACAAGAAACAAACCGGATCAAACTTGTTCTAAAACAAGTCAGTGAAGCACCAACCTGGACGACACCACACACTGCCTCGTTCTGGATGTCGTGCCTCCGCCACACGATTGACTGCAGGCAGACCAGTCACTCCAGGGTCCCCAGCGATCATTCCGTACCCTAGACCACTAGAAGCAAAGAAAAATAGTAATCTACGTTAAATTTCTCATTACGATGTACATACATTGTCCAGCAGACAGGTGAGGAGAACAAGGAAATTCATCAACTTAAGTGAATTTTGTCGTAATTTTCCACCGAATCTGTTCTAAGAATTAACATAAAAAGATTAATTGGTGACTCAGGTAAAAAAAAAAAATTACATACTGAGCATAGGGTTGCTGAGTCTTGCTATTTGTTTTGATGAGATTTACTGTACTAATCATGCATAGAGGCTGATACTACTCAATTTCGCGAAAATCTGAAGCTGTTTTTTTTTATCGTCAAAAGGTCGCGCAATTCGTCTTCACCTTTTCTTAACGTTCATGGCAAATTAAAGCGTAAAAACATTTGGTTTTCTTAAAAATTGGACAACATGTATTGAAACGTGCTAACGAATTAGCACAGATTTCGAACTGAATAGTTTTATGTCAGACATTTGAAGCAGTTCCGCGTGACTTGAACCGTCCGACACACGGTAGAGATATAAATGCCTTACTAACTTCGTCTCCTCGTCGTTTTCCACTCTATGGCCTCCACTTGTATGGCCTCCGCGCCCTTCACGCTTGGGCCATAAATCAAAGGGGACAGACCTCAAACTCGGTTACTGAGAGATATAGCTACTAAAACTGCAGAGTCTTCAGCTCTTCACTTGAACTGGGATGAAAGACTGTTCAGCTTAGGTATGCCGAAAGATTTTTGCGTTAAATCCGCTTTTGGAAATCTCTGATTTGACATGCTTGTTGTTAGATACCGAAGCAGAAGAAGAAAGGCAAGTCATAATCAAGCCTAGCTTTATTGAAAACTGCTTTCGATAGTAATCGTTGAAACAAAAAGTGATTTATAATGTCAATCAATCCGACAAAGAAGCAATTCCAATGGGCAAGACGTTACTCGCACCTCTAAACTGAGAAACACAATCAGACATTATCTTGTGAGCCAGTGCTTTATAAGTTTCATCGTGGTTGCACGCGAGCTAAGCAACTTACCAGATTTAACTTTGAATAAATCTATGTGAATTTTTTCAATTAGCATTTAAAAAATGTTTTCAAGTTGGTTCTTTCGAAGGCAATAATTTTGCTTTGCAAAATTTAAGCAAAATTTCTCGGTTCAAGTCAAGACAAGTGATTTTTAGAAGGTGGTATATTGCTGCTTTCGGAACATATCCTCGTGAAAATTCCTTAAACACTGATGGGAGATTTTTGCATACGCAAGGTAATGTGAGTTTTTCTACTGCCATTGTCGACGAATTCAGTTTTTGACAAAAGTTTGTAGCACACCTGATGTGATCTTAGTCATGTTTGAATTAGATTACAATGTTAGATCAGTGGTATATCAACGTTCATTGTAACTTATGCAGGGTTTCATTACCAGTATTCGCCAAAAAAACACTTCCCTAGAAACAAAGTTAGACTTCGAAGTCTACAAAATTTATATATTCTTTACCGTTAAGCGGAAGAGATACTTGCACAAAAAGAAGATGACTTGAGAACTTTGTATTGCGTGTTAAACAGATTGATGGCTACCTTCACATTAAAACCTTAACATTCCTGTAGATACTTGATGTGGTTTTAACTTTCGATTTATTGAACGAATTCGAAAACTGCGATAGGTCAAATGAAAACTATTAAGTAGTACTTTGATCTGATTCTGTTTCTACTTTTCTCAAATGAAAACGTTCCAAATTTTTATTACATGTAGGTTCTAATTCTGGGTTCAGCAGAGGTAACGACATGTCACAAGGCTTTAACCTGCTGATCAAACGGTCAAATGGCTGTAGTTAACTTCATTACAAGAATTCTGTAGGTTATAATGAAAAACCTGAGTGAACAATTGAAGTTAGGCTCATTTATCAAGGCGGAGACCAATTCTGACATTTCTGCTCATCAGCGAGTATCGTATTGGGTTAGAATTAGACTGACAAAAAAACAACTCGCCTCCACTTCTGTCAAATCTCGTTGATGGGCTGTGGTTAGAAAAGAAGGTACTGAATAGCAAACTTGAACTTCGCAATTCGAACAGTTTCGAACATTGAACTTACTTAAATCCGCCGAGGACCGTAATTCCGTCGTAAGCACACAAGTTAGGAATTACTAACAATACTCAAATCGTCCGGCGAGGTCCAATATCAAAAAACACAGTTTAAAACATAATATCCGATGGAAGTAGGGAGCTATTATATTTTGTATATTATCTGAAGAGTGCCTTGTAAGCTTAAATTAGCACTTTAATGAGCTGTAAATTGCTAACGGCAAGATGATATCGAGATCTTATCGCGATAAATTTGGACGGTTCTTAACTTCAGTCAGCGAGACACTGCTCTAAAAATAAAACAGCTCTAACTCTCACTAGGACAGTGTTTAGAGTTAACTGCTCACTAAGCCTCGCTGTCAGTTTCTTTTCACAGATGGTTGCATCCTCCAGAACGTGCTGTGTGGCTTGTTGTGAGCACTTTTGTGGTTTTGGCCATTCTCTCGCGAGTTGTATTACAGATCAATAAAGACGTGTCTATGTTGCGGACTGATTGCGCATTAGATGAACTCAACGCGTTAATCAGTTTATTGGTGGCCGCGTGCTTTGAATGACAACTTGTAACTTTACGACTTTCTGTTATGGAAAAAAAACTACTAAACACTGTAAAACTAATTCTTACATACCTGAAACGATTGCGAACAGCACTTGCTAAGCAGACTCAGGAAAGCTGTCAACAGTAGGTAATTCCACATAGTCTCTGTCAAACACAAAAACGCATGGTTAGAGACAAGTACTGAACAGCCAGACACACATTCTGAGCACAGTTGCAAAACTTACATGTTCTTCGCTTCACGCTGTATGATTTCGTCTTACAATGAACGCAGGTGATTAATATGTCGAGCTAGTATCCTTTCTCGGTTGTTTACTCGCTAATGTAAACTAATGAAAATTCCGGTGTCATAACCCCATGCTAAGGTACAGGAGAACAAGCTCGAGTCTTTACCAACTTTGACAACGTCGATTCCAAGTTATAAGTCCTTTAACAGACCGACTCTGAGAGGGAAATGATGGTTGACAACTAAATTATTGCTTACACTGAAATTAATCTGGTCCGCTCAAATAGAACAAGAGGGACAATAGAAAAGTGTTACACAACACGCAGTGAAGACTAAGTAAAGCAACTTCATACATATTCACTGCTTGTCTGTTAGAAATTCAACCAAGCGTGAAGTCAGTAAGTCCGTTCTTTGCACCTGATTAGGAGTCCGTTAATTGCGATATATTAACACTGGGCGTGATGAGCTAAAAAGCCCTTAAACGTTCTTGAGAGAGAACTTCGAACACTTTCAAACATTTTAATAAAGGTAACAGATCAATATAATGCAATTTGCACGAGGTTGACATCACACAACGGACCCAATGCGCGGGAAATACTTTGAGTTATCTCCTAGTCATTTAGCGCATTAACATAGCATTGAAGAGGTGCCAATCAAATTAGAATGACCTTGAAAAAGGAAAGCGTGGAACGGTAAACAACAATTTTACAACACTTCCTTTATCTAACTCCAATCAAACTTTCAATATAACTGCAATTTTTGCCTTTGGATCAAACAATGCACTTAGCACATTTTTAAAAGGGCAACCCGTGACTTTTTGCGGTAATTAATGAGTTTGAGGTTATCTGAGGCATTTTAGTGCAGCCTGCTGTGCCCGGCTTTTTATTTCCTAAGAAAATCAAAGGAAAATATTTGGAGAGTAATTAATTAGAAGTCGCGGTAAAAGACAACAAGGCGCAGCTAGAAAAACAAGTTATTATTCGTTAAGTTACTTGTTCGAAAGTTTTTCTTTTTGCAGCCATTAGCCAAAGGTAATATTTGTCAAATATGTGACGAAAGAGCTTCCTAAAATAAAAATCTGACACGCTGTTGTTTGAACTGCAGTTTCAACTCCGGAAGTACCAAGAGAAACTTAGTGTGGATTCTCACGCACACCATGGTCAAAACGAGAAGGAGTAACAAGGGGCCATCCTTTAAGAACTGAGCACCGACGAAGGCCCACTAGTACCTCATCTTCTCTTGAGTGCTTTATACATACAACGCATGCCATAAAATGTTGAGCCTGTTTAAGGCGTAACATTTCGAGGGTTTGCGAATGTTTCTATCTGCCGCCTAACACCGCAAGAGATAATTCCCGACAGAAAAAAACTCCGCAAAAATTTGCTCTATTGTTCGAAATACGAAACGCGCTGAACACCAGAGGTAGCCCGCCTTTTCAAGAGGTATCGGTTTGACGACAGAGAAAACCACTTATTGTTTTATTTGCAAGATATTGGACCTATCTGCTTTTGCCATTTTTATTGTGGCTTTCCGCCAAGTCAATCTATGCATTCCGACCCCTGAATCCTGTCACGCGTTCATTTAACATGGCTCTAACATTTTTTAAGTCTGTGGGTGAATCGCTTTGGCGCACAAATAGCATGTCATTCCTTCTCTGAGACAGTGTAGAGAAACAACGCTGAAGTCGAGGGTTACCTCAAACTTCAGTCGACGGAAAAAAGTGGAGTAATGTTGTTAGTTTTATAGATCATATTAGAGCAGTATTATCGTGTCGTTTCAGAGCCTTGCCGTAGGGTAGGTCAGAGTACAATTGATAATTGAATAAGGATGACCAAGATACACCACAAACAAATTCCGTAATAAGTGAAAATTTGTTTTTCTTTGTGGAAATTCAGCTTTTTTACCGTTACGCACAGACAGCTGAGAACTAACGATACCTTACAAAGAGGGTTTCCCAGAGTAAACAAGCATCGCCGAAGCATATGTGAATTCGTTCGTGTCTTGTGCCTGTACTTAAAGAGTGGAGATGCATATTAATGCATGTTATTATGACCCTGATAAAGTGTTCAAAGGCTTAGGCTTGTTATGGAACCATAAAATTAAAATAGCTCTTAAAAAAACATGTCCGGCTTTTGAGAATAGAAAGATTCTATAGCAATACTTGATGCACTTCATGGCTTTTGTCGCTGTGTGTTTGCTAATTGGACCGAAGTCTCCGACATGGTCTGGTCAATCTGAGATAACACGCCGGTTTCTTTGTCACCGGCCAACCAGAGGAAAACGGCCAAGACCAGATCACAGACAGAAGTGCAACGCCCTTAATACACATGTTCAAGAAAAAAAAATTAATATATATTTTTTAACATTTTGTGATTCACACTACTTAGCACTACTTACACAACTGGTACGGCTACTTACACAATTTACAACGGTATGAAAAAGAAATAAAGGAAAGGAAAAGTCAAAAGAAAGGAAAGGAAATGAGGCTGGTAGGAAATACATTTTTCCATGCGAAAGGTTTTGTTTCTCTTGTTTGTAGTTATCGCAACTAAGCTTATGTGTATTTTCACGCGCTTGGCATTAGCTGCGTTCGCGTACAGTTCTGATTGGTCAGATGTGACTGTGGGCTACAAAACAGACTTGAAAATCTTAAATCTGATAGTAATAGTGTCAATTTAACTTCGATGGAATCCCGGTGTACAGAAACAAGAGCTGAAGACAAGGGTTACCTCAAACTTCAGTTGACGGAAAAAAGTGGAGTGATGTTAGTTTTTCAGATCTTATTAGAGCGTAGTATCATCGTGTCGTTTACGAGCCTTGCTGCAGGCAGGTCAAAGTACAATTGATAATGAAATAGGAATGACCAATATACACCACAAACAAATTGCGTAATAAGTAAAAATTTGTTTTTCCTTGTGGAAATTCAGCCTTTTTACCGTTGCGAACAGACAGCTGAGAACTCAGAGATAACTTACATTGATGGTTTCCTAGAGTAAAAAAGCACCGCCGAAGCATATTTGCATTCGTTCGTGTCTTTTGCCTGTGCTTAATATTAATGCTTGTTAATATGACCCAGACAAAGTGTTCGAAGGCTAAGACTTGTTATGGAACCATAAAACTAAAATAGCTCTAAAAAGCATTTATCGATACAGGTCGTGACTTTTGTCGCTTTCTGTTTGCCAATCGAACCGAAGTCTGCTTCATGGTCTAATCAATCCAAGAAAACACGCCTTTTTTCACCCAAACAGGGGAAACGGCTAAGACCAGACTA